CCTAGAAGAATATACAAATCAGAAAAAGAAAAGCTGGAAAGCAACAATCTAAAGCACATCTAGCACACAGCAGGACTCCCTGAACTCTGTCAAGCTCATCTCAGAACAAGTGTGTTGAGATCTGAGCTGTATATAGGTAGGCAATCAGCTGCTGCCTACTTAAGAACTTTTGTGGGCTCAGCTGAATTCCCCTTTCTTTTGAGCTTCTGAAGATCTTTCTAAAACCATGGGCCTTCTGTATCTCTTATGATTTTTTTTCTTTGATTGGATCCTGTTTTTCCTTTCCCTTATATGACTTAAACACAGGGTTAATAACTTTGCATCTATCTCCTCCTGCTGTGTCTAAAATGATGAGAAGATCTTTAAGAATCTGCTGCTGCTGCTTTTCACAGCATGGATATAAATGTGGTCATCTACCCACTACTGTAAATCAAGATACTGTTAAAGGCATGGCAGCAGAGCCCGGCTGAATAAAGCTGGGAGCTTTCCTTTCTCTCTCAGCAAGTAGACTTTGGCCTATTCCACAATACAGTAATTTTGTGTCCAGCCTCTGCCAGTTTCTTACCCTGAAGACCTTTCTGTGCTTACTTGCTCTGATGTTCTCACTATCTATTCTCTGCTCCACACCAGACTTATGAACCTGGATTGCTTTATGACTGCTCTCCATCCACTTCTCTTATCAAGGATTTTACCATGACCTTCAGTTTGAAGCAAGAGTGGTCCTCCAGCTATTGCTGCACTGCAACTCTCATCTGCTCTAGGTCCTGAAAATGAAAAGGATGATGGGAGTGGAGCTTGGAAAAGATACCCTTTGGATGAGGAAATTCTGGTGCTTAAAGTCCAAGATATAACTTATCAAAGTTCTGTGTGAGGGTTTTAGTCCAAGAACATCTGAAAGCTCGCCAGTTGCTCACTCAGGTAATTTTTGCTGTAGGAACACAACTCCCTTTTAATGCAAGACATTAGGCTTATATCACAATCAGGAAGGACTTGAACTTTCCCCCCATGGATTCTTTGTTACGAAAATGTTAACTTACATGCCCTTTGGTCCAAGATCAGGGATAAATGATAGCTGACTTACACCAATGAATTCCATCTGAAAAGTAACAAAGAAAATAAAAGAATTTTTATATTATTTGAATGTAAGAAAATGATCCTAGTTTTATTAACTGATGCATAGACTATGTACAGAGAAGCACCCTCATTTAAAGCGCTTATTTTTATTGGTGACTCTAAGAGTAATTCTTACAATTGTGCCACAGGACAGTATCTCTCCTTCAGACACAACCTCCCCAGTATACAACCTGCACACCGGTCTAGAAAATGTCATTACATCAAGAATCCAGCACATTTTCCCATTATCAGTGAGTGCTAATTTCAACCAAGGCTAGACCATACTAGCAGTGCCATTCATCCATTTCAAGCATTCAATAGGGACACAGGGAAGCCTTTTTTGCCTGGTTCCATCTAGTTCAGAACTGTTTCCTATGACTGGGAGAGTTTCTGTTACTGATTGCCTAATTATTTTAGCTAGATGAAGAGACTGAATCTGGGACCTTCTACCTAAGAAGCATACCGCTAAGTCATCTTCCCTATTTAACAAAAAATTGGCAGTGCTTTGATACACCAGGATCACTGGATTGTGTGTAGGTGCACATATAATTATATATATGGCACAGAAGCCTTTTAAAAGCAAACTGTAAATACACTAGTCTTAAAGTTCAGCATGAGCCTTAGTCCATCAACTGGAATTAATAGCCATCACACTGATGTGCCACCATATATGGAACTTGCTTCCCAGCGAGATTAGGTCGGCTTCTTCCCTCCTGTCTTTTAGGAAGAAATTGAAATCAAAACCAGGCTTTTGGACAACAGGCACAACAGCACTTTGGATGCGGAATTGGACTGGAGTGGTTATATGGTTGACTATAATGGTTTTCATTGTTTTTAATTTAATGTTCTATCTATTGTTTAAATTGTTGCTATATTGTTGCACTTGTCTATATGTTGCAGCATTGAATTGTTGCCAAGTGTAAGCCATCCTGAGTCCCTCCCCCCTGCTGGGGGGTTGAGAAGGACAGGATAGAAATGCTGGAAATAATAATAAATAATACATACAGAGAAAAGGAGTTTTACAGTACAACTCCCAAGATTAGTGTTGCTAGTTTGAACTATCCTGGGCCTGATATTTCAGCACCAAAACCTGAATTTCATAGATGAGTCTTTGGAGTGCCACAGAGAACAAGCCCTAGTTATGTCCTGAACCACAACACTTTAAGCATCTGGCACAGTAGCAAAGAATATGTCATTAAAAGTAAAATTACCAAGTCTAGGTAAACATGATCACACACTTTTCAAGACACTTCTCTCACCCTGAAATTCCTCCCCCTTGCTTTGAGCACCGAAGAGATGCTCTGAGATCCTGGGTAGTCAACTCAAGAATGGCCTAAAACTATTCCTTCCCAAACTCTGCATGAAATTCACTTTGCTGCCTTTCTGTTGGAAGAGTAGGCAGTTTGAGAAGCGAGAAGCCCTTAAAACAACATCTTTTTAGAGGGGGTGATGCAGAAAAGTGTTGGGTGTTTCGTAATCCTTGTTTACATGAATTGAGCTATTTGCATAATAACAGCTTGAGGCATGTACCTTTCATTCTGCTCTCAAAGTCAAGATGCCCATTTCACATCTCTCTCCCCTATGTCAGTCAGTCTCTCTCTCTCACACACACACATGCTTTCAATCCAAAGCACTAAATAAATAAGGAAGTCAAACACAAACCCAGGGAGGTGTCTTGCAATTGGGGGGCGGGGGTAGGAGTAATAGCAGATCACAGAGAGGGCATTAACCAACAAGCAAAATATGTACAGTATGACCCCAATGTCTGAAGGGAATACATTCTTGGACTTCACATGGATATGTGAATCTTATTATTTTCAATGGTATGAATGACTGGGGTATTGAGAAATGGATATACCTTGTATCGGAAGTCTTAAGTGAACCAGCAAAATCATGGATAAGTGGAACTGTGTATATGGATTCTGTGGATACATGGCTTATACTATACTAACAAAACAGTATACTGTATTAACTAAATATCCCCCCCCCCCTCCAAACCATATGAAATGTTTCCAGGTCATCATGTCTTTCTCTCTCTCAAATGGAAGTCTTTTGGGAGCACTGAGAGTCAGCATGTCCTGGAAGCAAAAGCCAAAACACTGGATCTACAATTGGGGGTGCCCACATGCATCTCCCGCAACAATGAGATACAAACTGAGCCAGTATTCCAGGAATAACAACAAGTCCACTGACTAAGGGTATGAGTGCTTGTTCTCCCAATAGGATGCTTGTTCTCCCAGTGGGAAAAATGAATGGTTCCAGAGGAACCTCTGGACCATCTCTGATCAGTGATGGGTTTTTTCTGCAAAGTGAAGAATGAACAAGTGGTGGTGAGATTTCTGGAGTGGACTTTAAGAGAAGGAAAGCATCTCTCTGAGATCTTCACCATGCTGGAATCCGGCCATCTACAGATAGGATGAGATCTGAAGGGTCACTCAAAAAAAAAAATGAGAACCTCCTGAATGATTCACAGTTTACACTCAAAATTTGTGCATCACTTACACATACTCCTAGAGATGTCTGATATGGCCACATTGATATGTTCCTTGGTAGCATCTCATCTGGATGGCTGAGACACATTCTATCTGTCTTTAAAGATACTTTGGAGACTTCAATTAATTAAAAATGCTGAAGTCGGATTGTTGAGAAGAGCTGATTGTAGAAAGTATATAGTCTCACTAGTCTGTTTCTGGGTAGAATCCAAAGAACTGGTTCTGGCTCATAAGCTATATTTTAGGGGGTAGAAGATATCCTAAAACATTCTTACATATGTGTGACCGACTTTTTCGGGTCTACTGGGAGAACCCTTCTCTTAATTCTGCCATCATTAGAGGCAATGTTGGGGGTGCCCACATGGAGAGGTGAGGTGGAACTCCTTTCAACTGACTCTCTTCCTGCCATCCTAAGGTACACCTTTGGAAACTTGGAACAGGATGTTTAATTGGTGAATACTAAATTACTATGTTTATATAATCAAGATTATCATTATTAATTGTTATCAAGTCAACTTTTACTTATAGTGACACCATGAATTAGACACCTCCAAGTCGTCCTATTATCAACAGCACTGCAATTCGCAAACTTCCTTGCACTGTTATGTCAATTTGTACTTAACTGATGTTTGTGTTTAATTTCACTTTGTTTTAATATTATAACTTACTTACTTTTGTGATAATATGATATTGAAAGTAGTATATAAATGGAATAAAGAAATAATAAACGTAAATGAAAGCCAGCAATAGTAAATCAAGGAAATCAAACTAACAAGATAACATCTTTCACGTCTTCATTTGAGATTTCACACCCTCCCAGCTCTCCTCAAGGAAGCTCAATATCCTAATCAGTTTGCTTAGTAATCTGGGTCAAGGAAGCTCAATATCCTAATCAGTTTGCTTAGTCAAGAATAGCCTCACTATTTTTGTACCAAAAGGAAAGCACTGGCCAAAGTGGGGTGAACACTGTGGAATGAAATGTGAACAGCCAAGTGACAGGTGTTAGCTTCAGATAAGCCCTAATGCACTTTTGTCCGAAGACTATGCAATTCCGAATCCTTTAATGCAGACCCGAAGGAAGATTAAATACAATCCAGTATCACCAAGAAGCCTGGTCTTGTGAGACTGTTCATCATATGATTCAATGAAGGAAGAAATAAACAAGATACCTTCGCTAGTACAATAATATGCTACAGCTAGAAGCCAAAACAGCAGCACCAAGCAATACAAGTTGAGTATCCCTTCTCTGAAATGCTTGGGACCAGATTGTATTTCTGTGCCAAGACCACGTGGCGCGCCCTTTGCATGTGGACCTTTATCACCCTTTTTGTAAGCAAGAGCTGGCCTGTTTCAAGTATACAGAGACATTTTCCAACCTCTGAAAGATGCTAACCCTATTAAGTTATATGGGAAAGAAAAATTCCACTTTCTCTCTCTCTCTAAGGGCATTACCAGATGGAGAGAGGACCGTGTGTGTGTGTATGTGTGTGTGTGTGTGGCAGCACACTCAAAAGGAGTATTTTACACATGCCGTTATGCACATTAATACATTCCCTGATGACTCAACATTTATTGGTGCCAAGTTGGCATAATAAACTTTCAAGAACAGAAGGTAATTATATTATTATACATCTGTGCAGGGAGAGCCTGTAACCAATTAAAATTGGGTCTTTCACACTGCAGAATTATAGTGATACCATTCCATTTTAACTGCCATGGCAACATCCTATAGAATGCTGCCTTGAGTTAAGTATAAGTTTAAAGAGGAGTGTTCAGTATTCTCAGCCAGACAGCTCTCCAAAGTACTAGTGTCTGGATTCAATGGGATGGCAGTTAATATGGAACCATTATGCTATATGGAACCATGGCAGTTAATATGGAACCATTATGCTATAATGGTGTAGAATAAAAGGACCCATAATGAACTGACACTCCTGGAAGTTTCCAAGAGAGGCAATGTAATGTGTTTTGTGAAAGACAGAACAAATATGTTTTTTTTTTTTTGATCTCCAGAAAACAGAACCAACACACTAAAATTACACAAAAGGATTTTGGAAGGAAAGAATTAGGGAGAACGTCTTGACAATAACAGCTGTTCAACAGTGGAACAGACTAGTTCAGTAGGTGATTTATTTCATGAAAGATTTTGAAACCAAGGTTGAATTGTTGCCAATCATTTAGCTACCCATTTCCTGAACTGGCAAGGATGAACTTGATGGCCTTTGAGTAACTTCTACTATTCTTTAGTTGTATAGGAATACTTTATAAGCATGTGGTAGTCCAAGTGATTCTGTCGTTGCTGTGACCTTGGGAGAACCCAGTTAAGTAGCCCAAAATAATTCAGTTCATTTCTATTTCATTCAATTCAGGACTGAGGGCACAGTTTTTTAAACTTACCGTTCCATGGTAGTTCCTATAAAGGGGCATTTTTAAGAGATTTGTTAAGTAGTCTTCCAGTTGTTTCTGCAAAGAAAATAAAGCCGAGAAGCTCAAATAATATGTGTATTACATACATGGGCTATTATTCAATAATTCAATAATTCAGAATCATAAAATAACAAACATTGCAGTCAATGATAGCAACATCACATCATTACCTCATCACACTAGAGAATGTGATGAGGTAAAACTTTAAATTCAGTTTCTGCCTCTTGCAGAATTCAGGGGTTTGTAGTTTAGGGAGGCTGTTAAAGGTTCCTTCCTAAACTAAAAACTCCAGAATTCTGCAAGAGGCAGCAATCAGATTTAAAGTGGATTCACTCTCTAGTGTTCTTTTTTTTTCCCATGTCAAGAGCGACTTGAGAAACTGCAAGTCACTTCTGGTGTGAGAGAATTGCCTGTCTGCAAAGATGTTGCCCAGGGGACGCCCAGATGTTTTGATGTTTTACCATCCTTGTGGGAGGCTTCTCTCATGTCCCCACATTGGGAGCCGGAGCTGACAGAGGGAGCTCATATGTGCTCTCTCCTGATTCAAACCTGGACCTATTGTGATGAAGTAGAAGAATGGGGAATTTATTTGACTTCAAAAGCTGAATCCATTTCAAATATGTTCTTGGGGGAGCAATCAAATGGTGGGTAGGTCCAAAAGGTGAATCAAAAATACTACCACATTTTACCTGAAAGCTCTTAGTGTTAATTGCTAAGCCTTATAATGGGCATTTCAATTTTTCAGAATGCCCCCTTCCAAAGAAAGAAAGAAAGAAAGAAAGAAAGAAAGAAAGAAAGAAAGAAAGAATTGGCCAATTAGGACAGATACATTTATCTAGATCAGTATGCAAAGGGATTTTGTAGACTAATTGAGAGAAATAGGTTTTCGCTTCATCATCAGATGTACTTAATGAAATAGACTTATGTCTATGAAGGCTTATGCTTCCATCTTCTTCCTTCCAGCTAGACTCAAAGGTGCTAAAATATCTCTTTGCATAGGATGGGAACCGCAAAAGAGGTCAAAATATTTACAAGATAGTGGATTAGGTCAATATATACACTCATCTTTTCACATATGAAGTAGTTTAATAAGGATTCAGATAGTAATGCTTTGTAACATAAATTCACGCATCCAATTATAAATTGTCAAGTAGATGACAGACTGAGTAATATATATATACGTATAAAGAAGCTATGTAGTTCTCAATGCAATGGCAAAAATCTAACTTAAGAAACAAAATGACACTTCATGCAATGCAAATAAAGAGTTTGGAAGGGCCTGCTCTGGACTGGGGCCACAATAGGAAGCAAAAGGTTAGGAATCACCCATCCTGATGCACTCTTATTCCAGGTTCCCAGGTTAAATCATATCCTCCGACCTTCTTGCCCTTGACTTTCCAAATGCTATTTATGCAGCTGATAATTGAAAGAATACCGACTAATAACTGTCTAGTTGGACACTGTATACCATATTGTAGTTTGCTAAATCAGCCTTCAAACACTCAAAAAAAATCAGTAAAAATATGTTGCAGATGATCACTAAGAGGAAGGATGCTCACCCTTCTGCTGGAGAGATGTTCTTCTCTAACCATGTTGTCAGAGGTACGGGGTAAGCTTGGCATTTGCCGTGCTTCTCCCCTTTTGACAGTCTGCCTTCGGACTGTGTGCCTGAAAAAAGTAACATTCAGATTGTGAGGTGGGAGGTTTCAAGCAGTGAAACAAAGGAAAGGGAAGGCAGGAACCTCATCCAATTATAAATTTCTTATTGTTAGGAGCTCTTCTGCTATGGTAGTGATCAACAGAAATCATTTAAGCACATATGGAGGTAAACTGTGCACACAACTCAAATGTTCCTTCTCCTATCTAACTGAAGGACACAGAGGTCAGTACAATTCCTTCTTATCAGATGCCACCTTCACAAGAATTATTTAATGTTAATCTCAGTGATGGCTCTAAATTATAACTTTCAGATTCAGTACCTTGGATAGCCCCTTTAAAGTTCAAATTAAACACTCAACAGATTCAACAGTCCATTGACACGGAAGCTACCAGCTTCCACTGGATTTCCTTTATTATACTAGTGATAATAGTTTGGATTACAATGTTCCTAAAAACTATACAATGCATAATTCCCATATACAGCAAGCATGGTGTAGCAATTTGAATGTTGAAATAGGATTCTGGGGATCAGGGTTTGAATCAGCCATAAAAATGCACTAGGTGATCTTGGGCAGGTCATAGTCTCAGTCTCCGTCTACACTGCCATATAATCCAGATTATCAACACAGATATTCCACACTATCTGCTTTGAACTGGATTATATGAGTCTACACTACCATATAATCCAGTTGGATTTTATATGGCAGTGTAGAAGGGGCCGCAGAAGAAGGCAAGAATATTTCATGATAGGTTCACCTTTGAGTGGCCATGAAACAAAAATCACTTGGAACTAAACAACAACAATTCCCACCTTTACTCTTTTGATGTTTTCCTTCTCTTCTTGAAACAATTGCTTTTAGGCTTTGGAAATAATATTTATCCTTCAAGAACTACAAAGATCTTGTGACTAAGCAACCACCATCATATTGACGTGGATCTTTTGGTAAAAAGGTTTATGACAGCTTATCAACCATCATACATTTTTAATTTCTACTCTGCCTCCATCTGTTTCCAAAGACCATTCAACCTGACTCCATATGTTTTCTAATTTAATTCAATCGAGCCACTTCTTGACCTTCTGAGATTTTAACAAGTATTCCCACACACTTCTCAAACATTATGTTCCCAGCTATAAAGGATAGCTATACATTGGGTTTACAAAAAATAGTGTATTGTAATGGCTGGAGTGCTGCAGAGATTCAGGTTTAAATCTAAGTTGATCAATAAAGCTCATTAGGTGACCTTGGTCCAGTCACATCTCCCTCGACACCACTTTCCTCACAGGACTCTTGTGACAACAACAACAAAAAAAATATGAACGTTCTCACAAAGCTACATTTGATACCAATCATGACATTCTGGGTTTTCACACGTCTATAATGTACTAGTACCTAAACTTACTTACGGTTATGAGCAACTGAGAAGCAAAGTACTAGGATTCTGGGAAACCATAATGTGAATCCCTGCTCAGAATGAGTGATCTTGGTGGACTCATATTCTCAGCCTAAAAGGCAATGACACATCAGTGGATTGGATTGGATTGGGTATGGGCAAACTTCAGCTACCAGCTGTTAGGAATTGTGGGAGTTGGAGTCCAAAACACCAGGGGGGCTGAAGTTTTCCCATACCTGATAGATAGTCCTTATAGTTCTTTCAAACAATAAAATTCTATGATTGCCAAGATAACCCTACGATTGGCTCACTGTCAGTCAAAATCAATTTCAAAGCAAACAATAAGAACAACAACAACAAGAGGCACACTCTCCAAATTCATTTCAACCAATAACACCAATGTTTGGAAATATCAGGCAGCTACCTTCTTGTAGGGATGGGAATCCGTATAAAAGCTTTATATCTAAGCAGTTCCCTGTGGAATTCTTGAAAGTGCTTGAATTTCCTTTTCACTTGCCATGTAAACTCTCCGTGGGTTAATTCAATGGTGTAAACATGTAGACTTGGTACCTTTCAAAAGAAAACAAGACATCAAGTATTCAAAGCAGGCATAATCAAAGATATTGTTTTACACAATCTTCTCCCTTAGCTTAGTGGCTGTAACAACTACATTCCTAAACAAATTCATTAGTGTCTTTCCATCAGGGCAGTTCATTAATGAACCAAAATAAAGACTACGGCTTCTTAATATAGCCTATTTAAGGAAGGCAGCCATTTAGTATGAGTAAACAGCATTGAAACAAGCATATTTAGTGGAAAATAAAATTGAATGGATTCTGCAAATTAAGAGAAGCACAAAGATAGATTTACCATCAGTACAAAATCATCCTGTTAACAGAAAAAAGATGCAAAGTAAAATGAAAAATGGAAAACACTTGCTTTCTGGAAGCAAGATAATCTGCTGAGAGTCTGTCTTAGAACTAAAGATAAATTTAACTTTGAGTATTTTGCGGTAGTAGAGCCAGAATTGTGTAGCTGTTTGAGCACTGGACTATTACTTGAAGCCACATAACAACAACTTGGAATGAGCTCGGAGTATAGGCTGGTGCATTAGAAAATCTGCTTGGCAGAGTAATCTCTACCTGAGAATTTCAAGACCCCAAATAACCACCAGTTGTATCAGCATAATACTTTTCTATATGAGTTTTTTTCATGT